ATAGAAATCATAAAATTAAAGGCATATATGATTAGATAATGAATGAGACAAAATATAATTGATTAATAAATTAGTTTTAAATATTCAATTAATGAAACAGGAAGTGTTTTGTTGTTTATACATTTTCAGATTAAAATTATCTCTGTAAGGTTACAGAGACCTTAGCAGTGAGAGAACATCATAGATTACAATTATTTTTCCCAAACAATCCAAAGTCATTTAATACAACGTTCAGTTGGACAAACGTTGATGTAGCTTTTACTGTGAAGGAATGCACAGAAGGTTATCATCGGCCATTAATATCCCACAATCTAACAACATCACCAGCTTATAATCAAGTACGTCTTTCAATAGTAAACAATCCAGATATAAATTGTTACTAAGACTTAAATCATAGGTCACAAGTCTCAGGTTTTTATAGAACAAGACTGAATTCTTTTGTTTTGAAACTCGGTTTTGTACTGATTACAGAAAATGCGTCTTTACTAAATTTACGCCCTTTAAAATCATTGCGGTTGTCGTAATACTAGTCTATTTGGAGTTTAAATCAATGAATAAAAGCTCCAAATGAATACCACATTAATGCCAAAGATCAGTGTAGGAACTATTGGAACCAGAACTGTGTGCTATTGGGTTAATGTCCTGCAGATTTGAGGAATAACTCCTGAAAAAAAAAACAGAAAGAACAGTCAGCTGATCTTCCTGCTTTTGTTCATGAGGAAAAATTATGCAAAGCAGATTATTGAAAAGGGACAGAAACTATATGGTCCACCAATAAAAACCATCTAACAACGTCTGCTCCTCGCTCTGTTATTGTGTTCTCTACTTGAAGCAGCTGTGTAAAGGAAGTAGTGTGGGCTGTGAGCTGTGTGTTTGGGCCATTAATGGTCAGCAGAGACGGAGGCACAGAGGAAAACCTTAGCAGCAGGACAGGAAGAAACAGCTGCTCTTCAACAAACACAGCACAGACAGTGTTTGAAATCTCATCCGTCTCCCTCTCAGGGCCTCGGTTCAGATCTCCCTCAAGTCCACACGTGAAGGTAAGCAAAACTTTGCTCTGTTTATATATTAGAAACACGCACTCTAACCTCTCTCTCTTTGTTTTGCTCGGCTGGAAGCATAGGGGAGTTTTGGTGGATCCTGGACCCTGCACAACAACACCACCGAGGAGGCTGATAGCTTCAGCTTCCGACTGGAAAACTGCATGCAGTGGAAACAAACCGGGTTACCTTCCCCATCCCTCCCTGCCCAGGCCAGCTGAAGGGAAAAGCCAGCAGAGAAACAGGAAGCATGTCTGGGCCACAGTGGTGGTTAGATGGGGAAATCCAACTCTGTGGGTCTGACACAGGTGCACAGAGAATAAGAGGGTCGCTGAGAACCGGTGTCCAATTTACAGCCTTATGATGAAGATTGTCTGAAGTAAAATGAAAACTTTTAAAGACAAATAAAGAGGGATAAAAATTCTACCTATATCAAGCCTAAAAATTTTCTCAAAAAACGCAGCCAATCTCCTTTTCTTCACAATAGAGTCTAAATCTGAGGCAGATCTGGTTATCCCAGTTTAACTGAGGCTGATAATTTATTTAGTTGGCTGGAGGAAAGCATCTTGAATAATACAATGGGTGAAACCAGACAGACTGGACAGCAGCTGAGAAAGGAGGTTTCAGGGACCAGTGCAGCTTCATTTTTACCCAGAGGGACTGCGTGTGTGTGATTAGCAAAACAGAGATGGCTCACATTTTGAGTTAGTTGAGGTACTCAGGTTGTACTGATGAGCTCTGCAGTTCTCCAATCATTGTGACCATAGATAAAGGGAGCTGCCTCTATAAGGAGTATAAACCTCATTCAGAACTGTTTCCTAGGCTGAATGATTGGAATGAGTTGGGCTTGTTTTTCTTGTAAAACACCATTAAATAAATGTTGCTTTGAAGCTAACCGAAAGAAACAGAATCTTCTTCACCTAAGCTATTAAAGTGCAAAGCTGTCTAACAGAAGGAGAATGATTTGTGTATTCATAACACATAAGTATGTGAAACACAGAAGGCGGTTTACATCAATGCAGCATTTTGACTTTCAAAAGACATCACACCTATTACGTAAAATAGTGGGGAGTGGCGGCCTAGAGCTTGGGGCATTGCAGTTGGAATCCAGAGGTTCGGAGTTGAGACCGCCACTCTGGGTCCCTGAGCAAAAGACCCACACTCCTCCCCGGGCATCACATGATGGCAGACCACTGCTCCACAAGGGGATAGGTTAAATGCAGATTTCGTTGCTCTGTACTTGTGACATTGCAATGAAAATAAAAGCTGGGTCCTGTGCATGCCTGTGACTTTACACTACATCAGAGGTCTTCAACAGGGGGTCCGTGACCCCTAGGGGGTCCGCGAAGGTACTGCATGGGGGTCGCGAAAGTCTCGGTTGATTACTTTTTTTTATATTCCCTCCTGCAATTTTGTGCACTAATTAAAATGTCTTTAAATACACATTAACATGAATTCAACGCACTGTAGTAAACAGATAAATGGAAGCAGAAGATGTCCTTCAGTCATCAATGCACACATTTAGCGACACACAGGAGCTCTTTCAAACCTGGGCACCCTTTCATTCACAACACCTGTCCCATCAACCAGGAATCAGATTCAGAATTACTTAAATAATCCCAGGGAGAAATTACTTTCGTTACATTACTCCATCTGTAATAGTGTGACCATAGGATCAGTTTGAGACAATTTCATACAATATATATAATTAGGGGGTCCCCGCTCCATCTTGCAATCATTTTGGGGGTCCTTGGCTTTGAAAACGTTGAAGACCCCCGCACTACATGATTGGCTGAACGTTACCATATGATGTAAAACATAGTGCATAGTTGCACTATGTGAAACTAGGGCATAGTTGCACTAATTGAAACTAGTGCAACTATTGTTAGACGGCTTAGTACTTTAATAGCTTAGGTGAAGAAGATTCTGTTTATGCACTATGTTTCACATAGTGCATAGTTGCCCAGACAACAATAATAACATCACAGCAGCGTCTGTTAGCGTGTCTAATGACCGATGAAGTTTTACCTGATCGATAACAAAACTGATGGTGATCAAAGTAACTGTAAGACCGTGATATAAAGGGGGAGAGCTGGGTAGCGCTGTGGCTAAGCTGTGTTCAGTAGTTAACAGGTTAGCCTCTTTTAGCACGCTTAGTTAGCCATATTAAGCTACACTACTTTTAACTTTGTGTCAACAACAACCATTCTACAAGTAGAATAAGAGTTTTGTCTAAAGTCTCTATGAAAGTAATTTTTTTAGGATTGTTCCATTTGTCCTCCACTGCCCTCAGATCTTCATAAAAGGAATAAAAATAAACTGAGACTTTTTGCGTCACCTTGTTAAATGGCAGAGCTCAGTCTCCTAGAACGCAATACTTTCCTTCACAGCTGACAATGATTGTTTTCTACACTGCAAAAACCATCTAAAAATGAGGAAAAAATGCCTTAAATTAAGTTTATTTACCATTAATTTGAGTAAGTAAATAGGATAACTTGCCAATGGAATTAGTATTTTTAGTCTAAAAATAAGATAATTGGATAATATGCACTTGAAATAAGACAATGCAATTGTGTTTTCTTATTTTAAATGTAAATTGTCTTGTTCCATTGGCAAAGTGTCTCAATTTCCTCCTCAAATCAAGAAAAAAATGCACCTATTGCAAGAAAAAAATGACTTATGTAGATTTCAATTTTTTGCAGTGTACTTTCTTTTAATTTAGATCGCAGGGGATATGTGAAACAATAGCAAATATAGGTAATATTATGTTGAAACAACAAAAGAGATTCAATCCTTAAGAAAGAGGTGCAATACAGTTTGTCCGAGTGGAGTTGCCATATGTTGACATAAGTACATCTGACCACCTGAGCCGATCTGGTACCTACACCGGCTGATATTAGGTTTTTTTCTTTTCTTGTATAGGTATTGGCTGATATATGCATGCGTCGACTGTTTTCTAGGTGCGTTTAGCAGTCATGCTTTGGGATCATGCTGAGTTTATGCAATGTTACCCCACTCCATGTGCTATAATGTTTCGTTTGATTTGTTAATAGATGTGTTTTTTTTACATTAAATTGAGATTTGCGTAAAATTTGTTATCATGTGGAAGGGGATGAGGGGCTAACACCCCTTAAAATATCCTAAAAATCCTCAAACGAGCTCCACATTTCAACGCTGTTCATTTTGTAAGGGGAAATAACTCAACACTTGTTAGTTTAAAAACCATCTGGTCTGCAGGGATCTGGATTCTCAGGACTAAATTTAATCATCAGGAAGCAGCTCATGTGTGTTGGCCCTATTAAAATCAGGACTGGAAAGCAGCTTTGCAGCAAATGGAGACAGTCCTTTTTATATTAGATACTTATTTGTGTTTGCATATTACAATTAATTTTAAAGTAAAACCCAAATTTAAACAGTTACTTATATAAATATATCGTGTTTGGATTTTATTCTTGAATGTCTCTGACTTGCAGGTTAGTCACTCCATCAGTGGCCTACATTGTAAAGCTGTGACTTTAAGAGCTTCTTCCGTGGAACAAAAACACATAATCTAGGTCAAACTCATCCTCTGTAATCTATCTTTTAACACACTTTAACAGCTGATCTACATTCTCTTCATGAACTGCCTCAGTTTGCGTTTCTTGACCAAAGACAATAAAAAAAAAAGTATTATTTCTAAGACTTTCTGAGCTTTGAAATAACTGAAATAAAAGTGTCGTGATCGGGTCGGAGAAGTAGAAATTGAGCGGGTAACTAAATATTCAAAAACACTACGTAATCCCAGGGTACCTTGCTGCCGTGCCTTGCATTACCTAATCCCAGAAACCATCGCGAGGAGAGGCGGGGACATGGCTGGTTGCCGGAGCAACACACATGTCATTAGATGGACTCCGCCCACTTTCTCGTCCGCAGCCAATCGTTGAGCGTAGAAATGACATCATTGTTATTTTCAGTGGGGCTGCAGCTTAGAGGTGGATAAAGTTCGTCTCCACGTTGGAAGTGATTTAAAGTATTACCAGTTTTCGGAGTCTGTTTTTTATAGTTATTAGAAAGAGAGGATAATACGAACCCGGAGGTTTGAGGGGTAAAACAAAGCAGCTCGGCGGCAAAAGAAGTTTATTTTCTTGTTTTGGTTTGTCGATGAGGGGACGGTTCACAAAGGAAAACTTTTCTCGGGACGCAAAGTTGTCAAGTGAGTTGAACTCCCAACAATAAGCAGCCTCCGCCGCGGGACAGACTGACACCCATATGTACCCAGAAACAGTCGGACTCTTTATTTAAACACGAATACTTGGAGTGATAAGAATTAAAAAAAAGTTTTATGTCTAGAAAAAGCAGTAAAATGGAAGCGACCTTCTACGACGAAGCTGTTAACGCCTCCAACTCCCAGCATGACGGCGCGGCTGTTTACGGGTTTAACCCCAAAACACTGAAACAAACCATGACCCTGAACCTAAACGACCCGAAACACTTCAAACCCGGGCTGGGGGCCAAGGCCCTGGACATTCTGACTTCGCCTGATGTCGGGTTACTGAAGCTGGCCTCGCCGGAGCTGGAGAGGCTGATCATCCAGTCCTGCAGCGGGTTGACGACCCCCACCCCGACCCAGTTCGTTTGCCCCAAGAACGTCAGCGACGAGCAGGAGGGATTCGCCGAGGGGTTCGTAAGGGCCCTGGCTGAGCTCCACTACCAGCAGATACCCGCCGGAACCAGCGGCGGAGCGGCTCCATCATGCGAGGCCGGCGGGATTCCCTACAGCTGCACGGTGCGCACGGAACCACCCGAATACACCAACCTGGCCGCCTTTAACCGAACCGTGGGATCTGCGTCCGCACCTGTTTCAGAGAGGCACCCGCCCACTAGTTATCCAGGAGCGCCCCCCAACCCCGCGGACCACCAGCTGACGGCGGCGCAGCAGCAGCAGCACCCGCGGCTCCAGGCGCTGAAGGAGGAGCCGCAAACGGTGCCAGATCTCTCCGGGGAGACGCCTCCGCTGTCCCCGATCGACATGGAGACTCAGGAGCGCATCAAGGCGGAGAGGAAGCGCATGAGGAACAGAGTGGCTGCGTCCAAGTGCCGGAAAAGGAAGTTGGAGAGAATCTCCCGGCTGGAGGACAGGGTGAAGAATTTGAAGACCCAGAACACGGAGCTGGTTTCCTCCGCCAACGTCCTTCGAGACGAGCTGGCTCTGCTCAAGCAGAAGGTCATGGACCACGTTAACAGCGGCTGTCAGCTCATCCTGACGCAGCAGCTCCAAGCTTTCTAGACTGCAAAACTAAAACAAACCCAAAGGAGCCAATGAGGGACCAAATGCAACTTCAGATGGCGGCTTCAGACCTTTCATCTACTTTTGTTTTTCCACTACAGACAGTTTGGACACGAACGGTCCATGCAAATGAAGCCATGCATGAATGTTTCAGACTCGCACAGCTGAGAGAAACTTTTTTTTTTATTGTGTGTTTGCTCCTTAGTCTGGCACTTTTGTCTGTCACTACATTTTATTTCTGCAAGCAATTGTAGATCACGCGTGGGAAAAGGAAAAAGTGCACCTCATCAGAAGACTGTGATCCAGCTGCACATGTACATGTCCAAACAGCAATACTGGAGTTAGGTGCTGTAGCTCATGCACCAGATGTACAGATCCTTCACACCATCCACTTTTTTTTTTAAGGTGTGTGTAGCGTTTACTGACAGCTGCCTTACTTTCAAAGACACTTCTTACTACTTTATAGTGTGTAACTTGTTAGCCCCTGAAAATAACACTTTGTAAAATTTGTACGCAGCATTTTGAGCACTTAAACTGTAAATAAGGCTAAATAAATAATAAAAAAAAAGACTAACTAAAGTTGGATACGCCTGCGAGCATCTTTGTCTGATATATAGGATTCTGCAACAGGACGGGTTTTGTTATTGCAGACGGGACAACAATGAGTCATTCTGTGGTGTGTGAGGCGCGAGCGCTGATTGGACAGCCGGGGCTTCCGGAAGTAAGCTGCAGGGAGCCAAATATGGGAAGATGACTGGGAAGGGCGTGCATGGCTGAATCACTGTCCTCCCCCCTCTCCTGCTGGTGACTCCTACAAGTAACCCCCACCCCCCACGCAAATGCAGATTTGTTTACACAACGGAGAAGTGTGTAGTAAGAACACATTGTAGATATTAAAACATTTTATTTATGAACACGTGACATGTTTATATATATATATATTAAAAAAAGACTAACAAAGATGTTTAAAGGTATACAGAGCGATATGAAGGCTGTAGAAAAGCTGAGGACTTCAAACATTGTAACTAGAACCCTGTAAATATGAGATGATCTGGATATCCTTTTTAAAGAGGTGTTCAAGGAGCAGGCATGCAGGTGTTTAAACTTGAGCTTCTTCTCCAGATCCCTGCTATGCTGGACTCCAACATACACTCCAAACATCTCATAAATTCAGATTATTTGAGCTTAAACCTTCCTCCATTTTGTCGCGCTACAACTAAAAATCTTATGTTTTTTTCTAGGTTTTTTTTAAATGAAACATATTTCCATATCAAATTGAAATGTTTACTTAAGCATATAATCCTACAAATGCCATTTATATTTTGAGGTTTTAAAATGAAACTGAACCTTCAAATTAAAACAATAGGCAGGAAAAACAGCCTTAAATACAATTGGACGGGGAAAAAAAGAAATAAATGGATATTTGTCAGTATGTGTTCAAGAATTTGACCAAATCTAAAGTAAACTGAACCTGCGTTAAATGTTTTTATTATTTAAACTTTTTAAATGATTATTAATTTTGTAAAGTTGATGTAGATAATTCATCCAGGAGTGACTCATCTCTTTAAGCAGGTTTGATTTGCAGGAGAAATCCCTTCAGTAAATCCTCCAAACAATATTTTGATAAGAAATTCTTAGACAACATGAGCTAGCTTAACCATCTTCTTTCAAAATTGGAATCTTGTTCTCATTTGCACATTAATTCATTCCTGAAGTTTAAACAGACTGCATAACAACCAGATTATCTTTTATTGTGTGGTAAACAAGGAATTAAAAGTTGGACAGCGATGGTCTTGTGTCTGGGGGAATGACTCATGCAGCAGTTTCCCAGCATTATGGCTCCTCTTGCTCCATCTGTAAACCACAGGTATGATCCACATCTTTCACTTGTTGAACACAGTTTTTCCCTTGATCCATTTCCATGTGGGTGTCCCAGAGAACTACTGATCTCCAAGGGTTACCTCAGTCCTACAGGCTGGGGGTGAGAGCCTCTCAGCTGACCAGCATGCCCTCCTTACCAGCCAGCCTCTGTCTGTGTATGTGATCCTGCTCCAGTTCTTCGTGGCTGGGGTGCCAGAGCTGTGCCAGGATGCGCTCCATGTTGAGAGCGTACATCGTGTGGGAGGGCATCACGCCGCGATGAACCTACATCACAGATAAAACAGGAAGAATTAAGGCAATAATCCTACAAGTTTTTTTTCTATAAAAGCATTTGTTAGAAAACATCTAGATGATGCGATAATTTACCATTCACATTACTTTAGGGCTGCATCCAATGGATTATTTGAGTAATCGATTAATACATTGACTTTTAGAAGACATACTTTTAGTAAATTAACATTTTAAAAAAGTATTTATAATAAAAAAAAAAAAAAAACTAAATTGCACATTTCAAATTAATTGAAGAAAAAACAAAACTAAAGAAAAAGAAAAAATATATAGGTACCTACACATTTAATATGACTTGGACAACTTTACTGGCATTTTATATACACAGAGTATAAACAAAGTGAAATTTCATTTTATACAGCTTTTAAACAGTGAATAGGCAGCAGCTTAGCAGTCAAACGGACCATTTTCAATTCAATTCAGTTTATTTATATAGCGCCAATTCACAACACATGTCATCTCAAGGCACTTTCCAGTTCAACCAGATCATACAGTCAAATTGATTCAAAGTTTTCCATCAAAGGAAAACTAGTTGATTGCATCGATTCATTGACTTGAATGCAATTCATCACACTAAGCATGCTTGTAGTGACAGTGGAGAGGAAAAACTCCCTTTTAACAGGAAGAAACCTCCAGCAGAACCAGGCTCAGTGTGAGCGGCCATCTGGCGAGGCCGACTGGGGTTCAAGGAGACAGAAGCAGAGATACAAAAAGCAGCTGTAAAAGGCGGCCCCGTCCAGGAAACACACAGCCAGGCAGACGAGCTCTGAGCCAGCTCCCATGCCAGAGGATGAAGAGAGCACATCCAGCCAGTCACAGTCAGAGAAACGACTACACTGAAAAAGTGTAGTCATTACAAGACGAAAAGTGTACTACATTTCACAAAGTGCAGCAGCGATCAAAGGCGAACAGTGTAGGAGAAGTTTGGAGCGTTGCAAAAAAAAAAAAAAAAAAAAAAAATTATATATATATATCAGAGATGGGGACTCGAATTTGTGACATATTTAATGACTTTAGGCTCGACTTAGACTGGCATTTGAAGGACTTCAGACTCGACTGAGACTCGTGATTTCTGACTTGTGAACAATATTTTATTTTTATGTGTTTTTTGTTTTACTAACTTGACTGATCGCCGCTCGCCTTACCCCCACACAGCAGAGGAAAAAAAAAAAAAAAAAAAAAAAACGGTAGAGGGGCTGTCAAACTGTCACGTAGCACTGACGTCACTGACGCAACGCTACGTGACATATATACCCGTGCACATTCATGCACGCTCGACAAGCCAAGCTTTAAAAACTTCATGGCAGTCGTAGAGGAGAAATATGTTGTGAATTGGCACTAAATAAATAAACTGAATTGAATTTAAAATACTGCCCGCCGAGTCGGTTCTGTCTGTTCCAGGGCATTAAGTTACAAAAAGTTATTGCCACAATGTTTCTTTTATGAAAGAATTGTCCTGGTATTTATTTAGGGTTTTTCTTCATCTGTTGTAGTTTTTAACTTCATATGTATTGTGATTGTTTTTTTTCCACAGCCCTCATTTTCACTTAAAAATAAAAGAGCAGCAGTTACTCCTAAAACTAGAAAAAGTTGTAACCACAAATGTCAGGTAAATACTGTAAGAAAATAGTTGTTTTTGAAAGAAAAAAATAAAGATGCCAAATTTAACTGGAAAAAAAATTGCGTGTGTGCTTTTTTAAATTGTATTTTTCATTTACCAGTTCAAGATAATGATCATTCCATAGATATGATAGTAACCTTTAAGCTATACCGTCTCAGTGACGGAGATAAAAACACAAAGAGAAACAAGCAAGCACGCAAATTATTGCACTTATTTTAATTAATCGCGTGATTAGAATTTATTGTGCGATTAATAGGCTCTATGCACAGCTCCACTACTTCCTGAATTTAAAGCAGCTCCTTTGTTTCCTGTCTTTCATGATTGGATGCACTGATTAATCCAGGTGTGTATGACCTAAGTAACTGGCCAGACACACCTGGATTAATCAGTTCGTCCAGTAATGAAAGACAGGAAACAAAGGAGCTGCCTTAAATTCAGGAAGTAGTGGAGCTGTGCATAGAGCCCATTGATAATTGTGACAGGCCTTCTCAGGACTTGAGATTTGACTTGGACTTGCAAAAAATGACTTGTGAACATGTCTGATATATACACACACACGTTTACAATTTGATCTTGAATGTATTCTATTGTTTGTTTCTCTGGAGTTCTGTAACCTGAGTGAAGTTGGCCGCTCCACCTTCTTCAAATCAGACGAAATGGGTGTCAATTAACTCGGCTCCGTTTGTGCAGCAAAAATTGCTGAATATTTCAATAACCATTCATAATTAATCATTACAGCCCTATATTACCGACAAGCTGTACAATTAGCAAGTGTTCTATACTGAATAATCAGTGTTACACTGTAAGGGTTTTAGAGACAAGTAGTTTGTCTTCTCCAACAGTCCTTTGCTAAACTTATCAGTGCAAGTAGAAGGAATCTATGATAATTAACATCCTGCTACAGAGATGTACAGCAGGATTAAATCCCCTAAAACACTGTTTTTATAAAACATTTATGGTTGAAAATAAAGCCTAGTGAACCCTTTGATTTCACTGCAAGTAGAAGCGGTTCTGCAGGGCTGATCAGGGTTTATACAGGAACGGGTAACTAATGCTTTTAATGTTGTTTTAATGCTCTTAGAAATATTTTTCTTGCTATCAACAAGTACCCATGAACTATCATATGTACACTGCCAAGTCTGTTGTCACCTTTACCGTCAACAGGCTGCATCCATTTCCCGAATTCCTCGTTTTACATCCACTTTTTTTAAAATTTGCATCTTCCCCATTCTTTAGCTTTTTCTCCGCCTCAAGCTTCTTTTCTGGAAATACAGCTTTACAATCAAACAGAAGCAGTTCCTCGCAAATCTATCGCAATGTATCTATCTTTTTTTTTTTTTTTTAATAAAGCATTTTAAATGCCACAATAATGCCACATTTAATGAAAATTAAGACCTTAATTTAATGATTTTTAATGACCCACAGAAACCCTGCTGATGCAGCTGATCAGAGCACCTCTAGTCAATCAGAGGTTCCGCTGAAAGTGCTGCGGTGCGTTCTGAAGCGTCCCAGAAGGCAGGCTGATAGCTGCTTCTCTAAAATAGGCAGCAATTCTATTTTTGCCGTTTCAAATCGTTTCAAAACGTCAATCTGGAGCAGAGTGGACTGAAGTCTGAACAGGAGGATTATTTAAATAAACAAATATGTTCATACAAGTAATTGGCAGCCATAATAAATGTGAACATTAACTCGAAAGGGTAACTAAAAACATATTTGAACTCCTCCATGTTTAAAAAATAAATAAAATAAAAAAACGTTGGGTGAACAAATAAAGCTCATTGCTTTATTCAAGGCCTACATGTTCACTACTGTAGTACAGTAATACAATCCTGACGTGATTCGAGTCTAACTGGGCAAAGTCGCCCCACCCTGAAAAAGGTTCCGGTGGAATACGGTGCCTGGGAAAAGTTGCTGCGCGTACATACTGCTTCTACATCCAGTGGAACCAAGGGGTGAAACCTATATTGTGTGAAAAAACTTTTGTTAAAGTCTTAAGGAAGCGGCTGTTCCAACTATTGCATTTCCGAATTCTCCCGAGTGGTGCCCGACTTTACACGAGTGAATAAAGTAAATGTGATTGGTCATTTATTAAGGGGGCCGGATTTTTGTGGCTGAAGGTTCACAAGCACATTTGGTTGTGGCCGGTTTCTCTGATGCATCTTGATAACCAGTTAGCAACTTAGTGCTAGTAGGTTCCCAATAGGAAATTCCATTGGGACCAAGTAGCACTAAATTGGTGACTTAGAAACGACACTGTCAAGGAACGCTATGGACAGCGGAAACATGCAAGAGGAGGAGAGTTTAGCATCACAGGTCGTGGATGAGTCTCCTCCATCATACATTTTTTATTTAGAAGAGGAAAGCGGGGAGGAAGATGTTAAGGAAGAGGACGCAAGGGCGGCAGAAGCTTGGTTTGGTGTAGAAGGCTTCCAGCCGTACATGTTTGAGCCCTTGCCTCGCAACGCTTCCTGTTCTGTTAGCTCTATGCCTGCCGAAGACACAGAGATCCATCCCCGTAAACACTGGGACGTAACTCAATTGTAAAGTAAATGATTCTCATTTCCTATTTCAACCTTTGCATATATTGGCCGAGACATATTAATGAAGATGCTATGACCGAAAAAATGTGTTAAAAAAAATTGGTAGATGATCCTTGATATACAATTGGCCGAATTTAGGCCGCTTGGGTCTGGTCGTGAACCAGTTCTGCTGGTATGCTTCTGCACCGTCGGTCTGGAATTTCTCGGGACGCACAGCGGTTTCCCGCCAAAACGCAATGGGGAGGCTATTCAAGAACTTGCGAGGACTATGGCGGTGCTGGCGGGAGTGTTTATCTTCCAAAACAACAATGGCACGTCCCCAAGATATCACGGTCACGGAAATGGATCTAGAGTTGCTAAACATTGAAGAGGAAAAGGTTCTGTTAATGGAGTTGGCTAAAAGACCAATTAAACTTTAGTCGTAGTTTTCCATTGTAGTTGTTCCTCGGTTTTTAAAAATGGCGTGCCCCAGCATCGAATCGAAAAGGATGACCACACAGACAGCCTAAAAGAAATACCAAGGACCAATCACAGCTGCTTTTTGTCTGCGCATGTCCGCTTGAGGTCCGTGCAGGTTTGCGACCATCTAACGCATAGACTGGATTTTTTTTTAAGTGTGCGATGATGGTTGCAGAACCTCTGCACGGGGAGCATGGTCGCACACAGAGACAGATTTAACGGTTGCAGATTCTATGCATCAGAAGTATAAATTGGCCTTAACACAACAGCTCGCATGAGGCGCATCAGACCAGACAACGTGGTTATTATTTTATCATTTCACTACTTTATTTCTCTCTAATAAGCGGTATATTAGATGAGACTTCTATTTGTTGATCAGAAAATCAAGTATTTACCAGTACTAGACTCAAATTTCAAGCCTTTTTTAAACCTTAAAAACACAAACATTTTCAAGGATTTCAAACATCTGTACGAACCCTCCATATATAAAAAAAATTAAGGTAGAAAATTTGACTTTTTTTTTTTTTTTCTACCTTTAAAGCTTCCAGGAGGTCAAACAGGCTGATTGGAGGCAGTGGCGCAGGTAGAGTGTCAGAGGAGCAGGCCAATAGGTGAACAGCTTTCTGCTCGGCGTCATCAGGCGACACCTGAGGGGGCGGGCATGCGGGTAGAGAGGCACTTGGAGGCGGACTGGAAAATAAAAAAACGGATTAAATGAAAGTTTAATAGAAGCATTTATGTGCGGGTTGCCTTCTTTCCTCTACCATTCGCTGATGCCGTGGTAAGCAGAAAGGCTGTTCTTGAGATAAGGCCGAGGTGTGACGTCGGTACCAAAGGCGTAAGGGAAGTGCCCGTCACGCAACCGATACGCTTTCCTCCGTGTGATTACGGCAGTCAGGACGTCCTTCAAGTGGTGCTAAAATAACAGTTCAGCTCGTTTTATTTCTAAACACACATAAACCATGGCTTCCATTCATTGGTTTGTGCTAAGCATCTTGAGAAACGGCATTAAAAAATGTACGGTAATCAATAATTTAGCAGTCGTATGGATGGAGAGCCCACCTCCACAGCATAGATCATGGTGCTGATGGCCTCTTCTGTGACGTTATCCAGCCCCATCTCGAAGGCGGTGACCATCATGCGGGCCTCCAGCTGGCCCCGCGTCGGCAGCAGCAGCGTGTGGCCGCTCAGGCGCAGCTCCTCCTCCTCGCTCCCCGCCTCACGTGGGCTGAATGGCTGCGCACCGCTAAGAGGGTTCTGTGGCTGGAAGCGATGCTACGGGGGCAAAAAGCATCATCAGAAGCAGACAGTGAGTCAACCATTTTAAAGAAAAAGAAGGAACAACCCATGATATTACAAGTTAACTTATCTGAAACGTTGGCGGAAAAACAAAGGGATTAAAGATTTACATCAAATTTCTGTCTGGATGAACATTTCTTCTTTCCTTTTGGCTTGCCAGGCTTTGCAGCGCAGCTTCCCTGCCTTTGTGAAGGAACGGTGCCGTCTAGAGGATGGAAAAGGAAACACAGAGAGGATAAGGAGTGGGAAACAAAGCTAAACAGGTTCTGACTCATGAACATGAAAACATACAATCAAATCATGAAAATCACCTTGTAGTGGCGTCACACAAGCCATGATTCTTTCCAACAGAATTGTAATTAGATTTTATTTATTTTGAATAAAATAAAAGTACAGAACAAATCCTACTTAGTGAACAGAACAGAAACTCCTGAACCTTGTTTAAACATTAAAGCAAAAACAATTTGTATGCAACAACACTCTAATGAGAAGTGTCCTAATAAAACTTTCCCATTTCTGATACGATACAGGTCACAGTTTAAATGTACAGTGCAGCTTTGATCATTTACTGACATTGATCCGATATCAGCATGAATCATGCATACTTTTATCTTATTTCTTTAGTGTGAATGATAGCAGAAGGCTTGATGGCAGTCGTAGTTATAATGCAAACATTTATTATCATGGGGAGTGGTGGTCTAGTGGTTAGTAGGGGTGGAACGGTTCACAAAATCCACGGTTCGGTTCACGGTTTCGTGGTCACGGTTTTCAGTTCGGTATATGTTGATTGTTACGCTGGAAAAAAAATCGAAATTTAGATACGTTTTTTTTTTCTTAAAATAAGTGTATTTGTTCTTGGATTCAGTAGGTAAAAGAGAGATTTTGCCAAAGAACAAAATAATTTACACTTACAAAAAGGAAACACAATTGCATTCTCTTATTTCAGGTGGATTTTATCTAATTTTCTTATTTTAAGAGCAAAAATACTCACTCCATTGGCAAACTATCTTATTTACCTACTCAAATTAAGCGTAAATACACTTAATTTAAGACTTTTCTACTTATTTTTAGATACTTTTTCCAGTGTACCCCGAACTCCCATAAAAATTAATGAAATTAATGAAAAAAATCCCCCAAAAATTTATGAATTGTAATTATTTTTAATGATTTGCGGAAACCATGGATCATTTCCGCATGTTTTGCTGCTTTGAATTTAATCATCTGGCGCATGCCCTCTACCATCTCCAAGGAACTCAGAGCGGAGCGGACAGGAGCCACAGTGGAGGCTGTAGGCTTTGCTTTGCCGAGGCGGTCTGGAGTGCACCGGGGTGGAGCGCTGACGGAGTATGTGGGATTTCGGGGTTAGCCTGACATGTTGGTCATGTTGCTGTTGGCATAAACAAAACGTGTTGCACAATGCTTGCACACTGTTGCACTTTTATCCACAACTTTCTTTCCGCCGTCATCGTAGGTCACTCTAAATGCAAAGTGGTCCCATACAGCAGACCTATAAAGTGCTGCTGGCGTGTCTTCCAACTCCTGTTCTTTCCCACTCGCCATACCCACACAATTCTCCACAATAACTGATTTTTTTCTGCTACACCCGGCTACGCTGCTTCGCTTCTTCTTGTTTACTACTGGTGGTTGGCTTTGGTCGCAGTACTGCCACCTTCTGCTCTCGAGTATAAACGCGTCACCTATGAGAAAAAGGAGCAGCGCATGAACCGAACGCAACACACGAGAATCGAACCGAGACAGTCGAACCGAACGGTTCAGACGGTTTTCATAAACCGTTCCATCCCTAGTGGTTAGGGCATAAAACTTGGAATCCTGAGGTTCTGAGTTCGAGCCCCACTCCCACTGACTGCCACTCTGGCTCTCTGAACAAGACCCTTAACCACCCACTGCTCCCCGGGAGCCCCACGATGGCAGCCCACTGCTCCTCAAGAGGATGGATTACATGCAAAGGTAAATTTCTCCAATGTGAGATCAATAAAGTCAATTATTATTATTAACCGAACTTTAAGCAGAGGCAGAGTGTTTCCGTCAAACAGGAAACAAGTAGGTTGGATGAGTTTGCTAAAGCCTTTTTTTGTACTGATGAACTAAAGGGGACGATCAGTTGATAGAACATGGCCACTTTCTCTGTGCTGGAGCAAAGTTCGGTGCATTTTTTATTCCAGTGATTTTGTACAAAACATTTTAGGAATCGTTTATCCGCTTTTCTGTCAGCTCTAACCAATCTACTTTTTGCCATTTTACAGTCAACCTGCTTCCTATGAAAATGACTTATTTATGATTAGAAGTCAAGTTATTCAAAATGTTTTAATAGGATTTATAGTTGTGGTATGCTGTGCTAAAATAGTTTTTCTTATATTTGCAGGTTCTGTAAGTCTTCATACACCCCATGTATTGATATTGTTAAAGATAGGCTCTATGTATGCACCCTGAAGCTCTATCTCTCCAATTCCTTTCCCTGAAAAGAGATCGCTCTGGACAAACTCTTTAAATAACACTTCATAACTTATATGTATTAAATAACCAGGAGACATGACAACAGATTCTGATAGAAATTGTAATGTTACTCAGATCAGAGAAATTGCTTAGAGTTTACAAAGGGCAGCTGTATATCTCCAGTCTGTCACATCATCTTATTTTACATCATACACGTTAGCAGATGATTAGGCATCCATGGCTCCAGCTTTATCAAAATATTACACTTCGTTCTTAGCTGAACGACACCACTCTCATTCCATTTCCAAATCTTAGCCACGTACAGAACAAATTTAATAACTGTATATCCAGACAGAGGAACTGTCTTAGTTTAAAACATCAGTTCTGACACGCAACAGAAAGCCGATACCAAAGTGTAATAAACTCACACATCAGTGATAATTATCCTAACAATACATATTCCAGTTAAATGCAGGATGGTACATTTGAAGACGTTGAATTGACACTTGTTAATATTTTTTTTTTACTATCGTTTACCCAAGTTTGCCGCGGATGGCTGATCGGAGGATGCAGACATGTGAGGAGCTGCAGCCAGTTGCTAATACTTGTAAGATCTCAAATCTCTTTTGCAGTAAACCTGTTTTGAAATGATTTAAATACCTTTGATTGTTCATAATAACCCAGATTTGCTACATTAACAAGGCTTACAATACAAATTCAACAGCCTTGCACATTAGAATACACAAGTAGACAGCAGGCAATATGTTTCTGGAGGATGCAGGTCTGAGTTTGTGAAAAAGGTTAACTGATCCATGCCTTAACTAACGCAACCTGGAAATTAGTTTGCAGAAGAAAAAATGTTGATAAAACCTTTGAAATGTTTTAGATGAGAAACCAAACTCACCTGGTGTGGAGACAATGATCTGACATCGTGTGAGAATGGCCAGTAGGAAGTCGTTGTGGAAGTGGACTAAGATAGAAAAAGGAGATTTAAGATAAGCTACAATGCACCAACAAACACGTGGCAGTGAAAACATCTTCTGGAGAACACCAACCATTTTCCTGAGGCAAAAGTCGACGTGCCTCAACATCAAACTCTGCTTGAACCAAAGCTTTAAGTTTGCCCAGTAGCTGAAAATACAGGAGACACAGGAGAATGGCGTAACCTTTAACTAGCTACATTAAAACCTTAGAGGTTTAGTGCTTTTTAAATTTTTTTTCGTTCAATTAGCTTAAGAACAGCTCTTACTTTGCAAGAAATCCAGCCGAATAATAACAACAACGTTTAAGATATAAAACATTTAATAAAAAATAAAGTGCAAGAACAGAGCACTCGGACAGCACAATATCTTAATTAAAAAAATCTGTGTGTGAGGATAACGGCTAAAAACATTAGCAAGCTAAGTGCTAGCTAGGTGCTAATATGCACATTTAGCCGAGAAGCCTCCGATTAGCTTGCATATTTGCAACATCATTTAAAAATCACACACATTCAGGAAACCAATTAACAACAGGTTCATCTTACTGCTTCACATTATCGCCGATTGCGTCCGTTAAATTCTTCTTAGCAATATCCAGCTCGCTAGCGTGAGCCGCCATGGCGACAAATATGCGTCATCATTAAGCGACACAGCTTTCCTATTTATAAATTAAATCACATATCACTTATATAATTTTTTTTACCCAATTTTATTTATGAATAGCAAATTAGTTCACGGGAGTTGTGTGTGGGTTTTTTTTTAATCATAATTGTTTCTAAACTCGAATTTAAGTGAAGGATCACTCTATCACTACCGCCACCTTGTGACAGAATACGGTACTCCTTCTATTTTTATGCCACGATTTAACATAAAAGTTAATTATATTTTTCCTTATTTTTATGTGATTAACAAATACACCTAGTGCATAGTTGTAAATTAAAATAAACAATGCATTTTCTCCTTTTTTCCACAACCACCTACTGTTTGTACTTGCTTAAACTTGCAGAATGGGGGATGCCGAATATATCTTCAGTTGTCTTTTCAAATATAAAAATAAAAAATGAAGTTTGCATTTCTCTAAAACCCCTTCACAAAATCCAGTGCAATCGTTTTCCCACTCCGCAAGGGATTTCCCACTCCACTTTATGATGATCATAAGGGTTTATCAACTAGACAAAAAAAATAGTGTCACGCTGTGGCCTTTGGAGGTTGGATTGTTGACATTTTGATAGAACAGATCAATTAGTGTTGGAAAAAAAAGACGTACAAAATAATTCTGTATCTGAAAAAATTACATCAGGGCAGAGACCTAATTGTCTTTTTGTAGTAAAATTGTTCAACCACTAGATGGCGGTGTTTCTTGTAAATTGACATGGCGCTCAGGAGACGTTAAATGCCCAAAATCCAGTTGATGCTGTGACTCCACTATAACTATTTAAAAAAAATTGGAGAGTTGAGCTGCCGGTTCAATGATTAAACTCTGACATTCCTCTTCCGGCTTATTCTGATGGATCCCAAGGCTTTACCAGGGCAAAAGAAATACAGTCTCCTAGCAGCAAGTTCTCTGTGCCATGTGGTGTTCACCCAGTGGGATGTGGCTGGAATACCACTAAAGGGTCAGGTTTGTACTAATTAGATGTCTGGAACACCTCAACTGCAGCAGCTAATCCTGAGACCCAGGATCACAGACAAGGTTCTGACCTGGCACAGTCCAGAGCCCATTGGGAAGAAGTTTGATGTAATATCAACAATAAAGATCTCACTCTACAAATACAGGAAGTAGATAAAGTAAAAGGTATCTCAGGTGCACTAGTTCCACAGTGTGCAACCCATTCCCCGAAAAGCCTCAGGGGACCAGCATGCCAAGAAAACAAAGTAAAAGCAACAGAAAATGGACAAGTCAACAAGGGACTGCTTGACCGGTTGTCCATTAAGTATCCATGTAAACCACCGAGACAAAAACAAATCTCTAATGTAAATTAAACATTAATATGTTTTGGTTTCACAAAAGCTGCAGTGTAACCACGAATTTACAGAAACAGACATCTTAAACAGACCATACAATGACATTACCGTCGTCCCTATTTACTTTTTCAAGCCTTCTTCTGAGCGATTTTCCTACCTATATTACACAATACTAATCAAAACATGTTAAAATGCTTTTAATTAAATCCGAGTAAAACATGAAAAGCAATGAATCATTGGCTCTAAACAATGCCTGCTTTCTTCAAAGAGGCCCATCCACTGCTGAGCCTTGGTATAATATAGTGAGTCCACAAGTTCCACTTCAAATGAAAGCCCAAAACCACACACAGGATATTTGGAGCATGAGGCAGTGTCATAATTCAAGGTGGTTGGGAATGATTAAAGCTTTCAGAAATAAATATGAATTTAGTTTCTTTAACTGCCTTCAAATGAGTTTTGATATTTTTTTACCAACTAATACACAACTTCATGATTGGCCCACACTCTAGATCTATGTCATGTAAAAGATATAGAAGTCTGAGCACACATCATAATGTTTAGAGACAGTTTTCTCTCAAGAAGAGACACTACCAGTTTTACAGATCAGTCAAACTGAAGCTCATTAACAAATATAATCTGGTTTAAGCCATATAGTAACGGTCCAAGGACTTCAAAGGTTAAAATTTCCAGATGTTTTAGCTCCCAGAACTTATCTGCTGCTTAACTTAATCAAATGGGGAAAAAAAGATCATTCCGGACCCATGAGTAGCACTTTTTATAATTTCATGGATTTTTTTAAATTAAAACAATTCAAGCATCTGTCTGTAATTGGAATGACTTAGAATAGCTGTCTGTCGGAATATTAGAACAATTCCCTATTCTAACCACTCCCAATATCCTACTGCTGATGTGGAATGCAGCAATAAAAATATACTTCCCAAAGAAGAGATTTAATGCTATTTTTCCTTCTAGCTGGTCGATAGCTATATTCGGAATCTCATTGCTCCTTTATAGTAGATGTCAAGTATTCCTGTGGTTCCTTCTGTGGCCCCTCAGGTTCAAACCCCTCTCAGGCAGCTTAGGCCTAGTTGGGAGGCCCCTTTGTTTTTCTCTGTTTTAACTATGGTACAAAAACAGTTGAGTAGTCAGGGTGAGGGCTTCTCTGGCTCTGTCTCCCCAGGCGGTCATGAAGTCTTAAACAGAGCGCCATGACTCACGCTATTCATCACAATAAGTGGGATCATACCGCCAGAACACATACAGTTAATGGTCTCACTGTGGATTGTTTGTGGGTTTCTCACTTCAGTGGGTTAGCGCTGACTCCACAGTGTTTTGAGGTCAAACGTCTTGACTGAGGGGAACCGTTTGATCATGTAGAGGGTTTCAAGTTTTGAGTCTAGAATAAACATGCATGCCATTCTGACCGCATTAACGATGAGAACAACCTGATTTTTTTAACTTATTAATGGATATATTTCAACACTAAATGTCTGTTAATGAGCAGCGGGGAGCATGCTCACTGTGCACTCAAATCTGAAATAATATGTCACTCAAAACATTGAGTTAACTTATGCTGACAACGTAAATGAGTAATATAACTGTCAAAAAGATACATTTAGCCCTTGCATACGTAACACACTACTCACACCCCTTGCCACGTTATGCCCACATACTTTAGTGAATCTAATTGGAGATTTTATTTAGAAAAAACAACAAAAATTATGAAGTTGAATAAAATTGATATGTGTAATTCAAAAACAGGGGCAAGAGATATCTGGGGACACTCACTTTTAACATTTTTTGTAAAAATTGGTCAAAATCCTTTGTGGAAGAGATTTTAATTCCTTAAAAGATTGATGGATAACATTGCTTTTTCAATAATACTTTTGGTTATACAGCCCAATATATACAAAATACGGAATTTAAAGCTACATTAATATGGTTGAATATTCTGAAAAAGAAAATGCTTTAGTGCATATGTTCTTGTAGCCTCGTGAGACCATCCTGATCTCGCGAGCTTTCAAGGTTTTACTCGCTAATCAG